TCTCTCTCTCTCTCTCTCTCTCTCTCTCTCTCTCTCTCTCTCTCTCTCTCACACACACACACACACACACACACACACACACACACACACACACACACACACTTAACAGTGTCTCTCGACACGCAAAAAGAGATAAGGGCTGTATGGAGCGACAGGCCGAGAAGCGGCTGTCAGGTAAATTCCCTTCGCTGAAGATGACAAGGTCATTCCCATCATCACGGTGAGACGACAGGAGAACGGGAGGGGCGAGGAAGGGAGGGAAGAGGAGGAGGGCTTGCAGGTGAGTCGATGTTGAAATCCGCAACAAAAGATCGGGCCCTCGGTAGATATGCTGAATGGCAAAAAAGGATTGATCGTCTCGTCCCAAGTATGCGCCTGCGTGATTCTCCTTCCTCCTTCCCACCTCCTTCTCCTACCCCTCCCCTCTCTATTGCCAATTACTTAGTTAGCCGTTGCCATTTGACTGTTCACCACAAAATAAAACTCCGTTGGCCAATCAACCAGTTCTCTCTTGTATTTCGATCAAAAGCGTCACTCCGATTTTTTTGCTGCGTAATAACGAGTCAATCTCTCGCTTGATCAGACCAACGGCAGCAGACATTGGCAACAGGTAGCAGGAGCTTTTACAACGGCCATCTTCTGAGGCGCGACCAAAATTTGAAACGTCGAGCGACGCTTAATGCCGCACACGCGCGAATGATGACAACGTCCCACGTGTCGCCCACAACACTCCCTTCCCCTCCCTGTCCAGGTCTTCTTACGCAGGGGGATGGGTCCAGTTCTCCACTTCTCCAGTTCTTCTTCCTGTCACTCAGGGAATCATCGGAAGGGGAAGAGGGATAGCGTTCCAGGTGTCCAACACAAGCCTTGAGCAGGAAGTATGGGGGACGGCAGACACTTGACAAGCAACGACCTGTAGACAGAGAGAACGAGAGAAGACAGAGAATAGAGATCAACGATGGCGCTCTCTCACGGCGGTAGCCCCTCCTCCAACCTGCCAACCAGCAAGAGCAGATCGCGCGAGCGCGCGCCCTGCTGCGCCTGTTTGTCTCCCCCCGGCGACGTTCCCTCTGATCTCAGCAAGAACAGGTCGCGCGCGAGCGAGAGACGCTGCAAACGAGAGACCGAGGGAGTGCGAGAGAGCGCGAGTATGAAAGAGAATGAGAGAGAGAGAGAGAGAGAGAGAGAGAGAGAGAGAGAGAGAGAGAGAGAGAGAGAGAAGTAGAGAAACAAAGGATGAGCGAGGGAGGGAAAGAAATTTGGAATAACGATGACAACCGAGCGGATTATATGGAGGGCATACTCACTTTAGGACTTATCTACTCGTATATGGACGTAATTGCGGTCAGATGCATCCAGGTCCAGACGTAAATGAGGTCAGATACAAAAAAAAATAGAGCTGGTGCGAGTACGCCCTGAGTCAAAGTGCGGCGCAGACACAGAGTTCCCGCCAGACGATGATTCGGCGCCGGGAATAGAGAAACAGAACTGGACTCAGACGATGATCCGGCGCAGAGAAGAGAGAAACAGAACTGGACTACACTAGCGCGGGGGGTCTGACCACGAGGGGAGGGAAGAGGGACGAGGGAGGATGAAGCAGGCAGAGGGAGGCAAACAGGTACTGGAATGTAACATATCAGCTCAAACAGACGGCGGATATGGAGAAAGCCCAACCAGCAGCGCAACTGAGAATGCTCTGGGAGGGCACGATTCACTACTGACACAGCGCGACCCACGCAAGACAGCCAACCTCACAGAAGAGACGCAAACAGAGAAATGCAGAGAGGAGGCAAAAGCAGACAGGCAGGTATACTCAGGACGGACACACGATGAAGTGGAGAGAGTCTGGAGACCGTGGAGATGGTGATGAAGCTTCTAAAAGGCAGAACAAAGAATCTCGGCCGTACGTTCAAGCAGAAGGATGTAGCAGCAATTTGTCAAGGACCGTCAATCAAGGATAGCTGATCCTCATGTGAATGGCGGCGGCGAGAGACGACTGCGATCGCGATCGGGACTGCGAAGAGAGGTGAACCGACCGACAAACCAGGCGAGCTCAAATGCTTTGCCTGACAGACAACCACGACACGACACGTGGACGCTGTCGGGAAGAGGGACAACACAAGAAGAACAACTCTACGCCCACTGGTTCTCTAGCTAGACGTTGCCAAGGGCTGAGAGGCGAGGAGAGGTCTCACAAGCCAGGGAGAAGAGGGTCGTGGGAGAGGAGGGAGGTAGATAGGTAGAGTAGGCAGGATAGGGAGGGTGGGGAATCCGGCCGGCGAGAAGGCGGGGAAGAGCTGAAGCGGCTAGGTAGAGGACGACATGACACGTGGGCGAGTTTTAGACGTTCTGCGCGCAGCATAACAAACTTCGAAGCGCGCGGGGCGCGCACCGCCTTGCGTTGGTCCCAACGAAAGGCACGCCCGGCTTACTCAAGTGGCCCATCTCCGACTTTACCCCGCTTCGCAGCTTCGTTTCGCTCCTTTTTTTCTTTCTTTCTTTTTTTTTTTTTTTGGACCCCGCTTCGCAGCTTCGTTTCGCTCCTTTTTTTCTTTCTTTCCTTTTTTTTTTTTTGGACCACACGCTTCGTTTCGTTTAGCAACCCGCCCGCGCCCACCACACTCGGCGGGGAGTGTGTCGGTGACCAAGCCCGCGCGAGCGCAACCAAACGGCGGCCATACGGCCTATACGGCCTATTGCGGACCAACGCTGGCACCCGCCGAGGCGGGCCGGCGCGCGCCCGAGGCCGGCGGCAACGGAAAGGCTCGGAACTCCGTCCGGACCTCGCTTCGGGACCTCGGCTACTGTAGGCTCACACCTCCCCACTTGCGCAAATTAGGAGATCTCGGCCGTTGATTTGCTATCTACGGTCAGTATCTCTAAAATCGTGTAAGTGGGACCTAGCCCCAGGGGTAGCCGAACGCGATATCCGAGGGTCCCGCGTTGACGACAACTACCCCGTCTTCACCCGAATACAACGTACGGTCATTATAGCTGTATCTAGACTGAAAGATCCCTCAAATACAGCTATGATGACCGTACGTTGTATTCGGAGGAAGAAGGGTAAGAGGGAAGGAGGAAGCAGCCACAAAGGGAGCCAGGCACACGTCTGAACAGATCGAATTACAGTCTAGACTGACTGTCCACATCGACAGGTGATGAGAGCATTGGTGGGACAATACTCATATATTCAGCTCGGTTTGACTATATTATGTATATATATATATATGGCTGTTACATCCAGTCCAGTGTCTCAACGCTTTTGGACCTTCCCCAACACCGTCGAATTGGGCCTTTTTTCGACAGGAGTCAGGAAATTTTCAAAAGTTTGCCTTGCCTTGCCTTCGCTATACAGCACCTTCGATTCGGGAGAGTGTGACCCCCCTTCCCTATACAAACGACTGGAGCTTGGCAGCACGGAGTCACTGACCCTCAGGCGTGAGTTTTGGACTTGAAAACGGGAGTTTTCGACTTGCGCCGCTGCAGGCGTGAGTTTTGGACTTGCTCCGCTGCAGGCGTGAGTTTCTGACAGGGTTAAACGTCACACTTCCGTTAATAATTCAAATCGAGGCCGGGGACCTCACAATTCGACCCGGTGGTACTGACAGCATCAGCCAGCTTAGCTTACAGGCCCAAGGCCTGCAGAAAGTCCTTGCTGCCGACTTTCCAATCTCAAACTACTTCCACGCTCCACACTGCTTCTATTTCCTGACTTCACTGAGCTCAATAGCTAGTTCCTAGCTGGGAACATCCTATTATCATCTGCAATTCTGCGGCATTTCAGCGTGCGGGCTTGCTCGACCTGACCTCTAGTCTGGGACTATTGCGGCCCAGAGGACAGAAGTCCAATCCTACTGACACTCTCCTACTGGCCCACAGCGGCCCTATAATCAGAGTGTCCTGGTTATGATTGAACCATTTCCAACAGGTGCTGTTTCGACAGCGGCCGCAATGTTCGCAGCCCGTCAGGGTTGCGTTTTCCCCCCCCAGACATTTTTCGTCGTCGTTCGTTATACCGGTCATTCATTTGGGCCAATTGGTCGTTCAAAGGCTGGTAAAATGAACGGCACTGGCATTTGGGGGGGGGCGGCAGTTCAAGCAAATCCAGGACCGGTAGCTGTCCGTGGCGTTTTCCTGGAAACCCCGCAGTCCAAAAAAAATTGAAACGGTGTGCGGGCCGCAGGGCCTTGAAAATCGAATCTGAAACGGTGGACCCAGGCCTGAAACGGCGTGCGGGCCGCAGGGCCTTGAAATTCCAATCTGAAACGGTGTGGACCCCGGTTATCTGCGTGCCATCTGGATTTGTTCGCAGCCCGTCAGGGATGCGCTTTCCCCCCCTGAGACATTCAACGTTCAACGTCAAATTTCAACGTCGTGGTCGTCGGGAGGGTGGTCATTTTTTGGTTT